CCCCCCCCGGCTACGGGCATGCCAAACACCAGTCCTGTCCATTTGTTAACCTGTCCCTCCTTTCCCCACAGGTGTGCCCCAAACCTGCCCTGATGAACTGTCTACAGAAGGTGGGGGCAAGAGGAACATGTTTCACTAGGAAAGAGGTGAGCAATCAGAAATAACACAACAAACATTTAAAAACGCACACATTTGTTTAGATTGTGTATGCACCATACAAAGTAATAGAATTCTTCATAAACGGATAGTGAGTGAGTGTGTGTCACAGTGTGAGTGAGTGAGTGAGTGAGTGAGTGAGTGAGTGAGTGAGTGAGTGAGTGAGTGAGTGAGTGAGTGAGTGAGTGAGTGAGTGAGTGAGTGAGTGGAACAATTTTTTACACTGTGTACATGAAATCTGTACCATAGGAACTTCTTATGTGACACTGAAAGTGAAAAAAATGAAATTTATCTGGAACTAGTCTACCTCAATGAACTCAATAAACAGCTGAGCTTCTCTTCCACTGAGAAGACAGACACTATGTACAGTATTTAGAGGTTCATTCTACCAGAGAAATTCCTCTGCAGCATACTAGTAGTTCTTTTTGACAAGCACAATGAACAGCGGACCACAGCTTAACTTCCTATCCTAAGGACTTCGATCCTTTCCAGTAACGTACAAGTTGGTGAACAACAACAACCAGCATTCAAACTCACAACCTCATGGTTAAGAGATAGGGTCACTATATAGCTAACCACTGGACTATACACACAATTACGTGACTTAGTACTGGGAATCTAAACGTTTGTTCTTTTTTTTTTTTGCAGGTATTGAAATACTTGATCCAGTACATAGGTGAGCGCATGTTGTACGACCAGAGTAACCCGCGTGTGGTGTACTGTCGAGAGGATGAGCTGGGGAAGGCTTTAGGAGTGCCACAGTTTACCATATACAACGTCAAGTAGGTTCATAGTGGTTCTAGACTTAAGGTGTCCTCCCTTAGTAATATCCGTAGTTATTAGAGAATAACCTAATTGCCTAATTAAAATCTAGTTATTCTCTAATAACTACGGATAATTAGTAGATATCAATTTGTGCAAACGTACGTTTGTAGCTTTGACCATTATGCACATGAAAATCATACTTTTATTTCAGTTACTTGTACCAAAGTGCTATATTATAACTTTAAAGATAATTACATTTGGGGCAATAAAATGTGATTCATAACCCTTTTGTACCCAGGTATCAATATTCAATACAACTACAGTTCTTTCTAAATTTCTTTGTGAGAAAACGATGGAAACCTAAAATGCAAAATTAGCCAGGGAGGACACCTTAACTGTATAATTGTAAACTTTCCAATGCTTTGCAATAAGGTGGTTCCAACTGCAGTTGTTGTTTGTCTGTAATTTGACAGGTAAGTTTATGGGCCCTATTAGGCCCTGTTCTCACTACAATAAAATGTTATGTTATATGTCATGAGAATGATTGAAGGTTTGAATTTTTTTAGGTAATTAGATGGAAACTTAGATCATATGACTTGAAGATACATGTAGTAGAAAAAATTAGAATATAGGAAAAAATATCCAGCAGGTTTTGTGAAAGAGGATTCTTTTTTATAATTTCTCACTGTCTTATTTGTGGATTGATTTTGGTATGGTTCAATGATGTTGTATTTCTACAATTTAAAGTTTGTCCATTTTCTCTCATTTAGGGACGTCCTGGCAGCAAATTGTGTGCCTGTAACGTCTCCACAAGTCATACAAGGTAAATTCACCTTCATGTCTCAGTGTTCGAAATACCTGTCTGCAGTCTGCAATCTGCAGATAGATTTTCAAGATTGCAGAAGAAAAATTTATACAATCTGCAATTTTGCAGAAGGAAAAATTGGCACTTGGGATTTGGCGCCCTTGGCCCCAAGGGCAGACAACACTGAAGCTCCTATTCTGAAACAACAGGAGCTTCTTCACTAATTTGCATCAACCTTGTCTTGACTTGTCTATCTTTTGTTTCTTTTGGACTTCCAAACATTTGTCTTCACTAATTTGCATATTAATCAATAGTTCATGCTTATAAACCTGCAAGATTGTAGTATGGAGGCTTGTGTATTTGCAGAAAGTATTTCCAAATTGCAGAACAAAATTTTGACTCTTCTGCAATATTGCAGAGCGCTGAAAAAAAGTATTTCGACCACTGTGTCTTGTTTCAGGCTTCTTGTGCTATCAGTCTGTCATTTATATAATGTACTTTTCTTTCATAAGATGTGTGAATGTCAGAATAACAAATAGATATACCCAGAGTTACCAAAACTATACTGTTAAAAAGGCTAGATAAGGTTGAGTGTGTGACAAGCATAACTTGCAAAATGAACAAATTGTTAATTTTACCAGTGGCATTATTTTACTTCATGCATGTTCATACCCTATGAACTGCTGTGCATTATTAACCTTCAACCTGCTAAGGTAGTCCTTTAATTTGGCACCAAATCTCAAAAAGGTTAAAAAATAATCCATCATGATGTTCATAGTAATATGCTAACCACTAACCCCCATGCCTGTTGTGTTTCGCCCACCCTCTAGCTGACACCCAGACTTCAGCCTCCCAAGCAAAAGTTCATTACACATTGCAACATTCTGTTGCAGAGGGCAGGGAAACAGCTACAAGGCCCAAGTCAACACAAGCAGGTAGGTTTGTTTTGCATAACTGGTAAATCGTTTTTGGGCCTAGGAAAAAAATGTTGTGTTTCCTGTTTCCCAACCGACACTAGAAAAAAACTGCCGACCCTCGCCTTTTTTGTGTAGAGAAAAAAAAACAATAAGCCCTACCTACCAACGGTAATTTTTTTCAGGACTGAAACAGGAAACACAGAATTTATTTTCTAGGCCTTAAGCATAACGCACCTGGCTTGTACACCTTGCCACCAAGTGGCCCTTTTTTGTATCACTTAACCGGTCATTTTAATGGTTATTTTCTGCCAATTTTTTCCCCTTTTTTACTTGTGTGGTAACAAACTTTATGGTTTTGTAATTTGAATATTAAGTGTTTTCCGTGTGAAATATTTTAATGTTTTTTGTGACTGTTTCAGAATGCCAGGATGCTGCGATGCCAGGACCGTCCACTGTACCACAGAAAGCCAAAGAGAAGAGAAAACACAGAAGGAGAAACAAGCTGAGTGAATCTGGTAGGTTTTCTTCTTCACAGAACATCACTTTGAACCTGACAACCTCTGTACATGGTCCACTGCGTGCAAGTGCGCGTCTTGTCAGGATTTGAGGGTTCGGTAGTCTGTATATATTAAGCTTTTTCATTATGTATATGTATATGTAAATCACTCATTATTTTATACTTGAGTCTATTGTATTTGTATGCTGTATCGGGACGAGGGCTGGTAAAGGTGTTACACCTGTTCCCCCGTCCCTTTCACTGTTGTGATGAATTTTAATAAATAAATAAATAAATAAATAAATAAAATTTGAATCTTCCTCCTCAATCAACAGTCATCTTTAACTTTTCACCTAATTCAAAAATATTGCATTGAAGAGCTTCATTAAACAAAACATTTCTCTTTCTGTAAAGGAGTTTGGGTGATATTTTCAGACATAATAACATTGATGCAAGCTTTTCTATACAAAGCCTTTTTACTCCAGGGTATGGAAGAGTAGTTGGCTGAGCTGTGAGTTTGTGTACCTGCAAGTTTCGCTAAACAGAGTAGGTTGATACATATAGCATGCGGGGTGGTGAGATTGACAGGCAGATCAAAAGGTCAGACACAGAAAACAGGGCGAACATGACGGTCCCAGAATCTGACCGAGAGCCAGCAGGAATTAAAGTGGTCGACATGGGGAAATTCAGGAAGCTGAAGATGGCATACATACATACTCCCTGGACATTTTAAATCTGTAATTTTTTGTTATTGTTAGGGCTACTTAACTGTATACAATGAATGTATAGCTGACTCTTCCATTCACATAATTATGTTTACCGAAGGAAAACATATTGTTTTTACTCAGTTTCTTCCTCTTCTGTTCCAAACACTAACCTCTGACCTGGCCAATGACATGATTTGTTGACGTCTGCCACCATGGTGACTGGTGTTGGATTACATAATGTTGCAATTTCATGGTCTGCTCTACTCCTGTCACCATATACTCGTATTACATGTATGTGAATGTGTTTGAGTAAAAATTAACAGGGCAGACCATGTCTGAAGGTAAACATTATGCATTTGCTTTGCAAATGTTACTTCTCTAGTTCTGGAATGTTTTGTTTACTTCTACAGAGAAATCCACCAGTTCGACAGGTTCGTCCACCAGAAGAAGACGGCACTCCTCCTCCCTCAGTATTGGTCAGACTCTGCAGCTAGACGAGGAAGGACCCAAGGGGCTGCCCTGGTTCTACTTTGTCAAGTGCCCGAAGGAGAGTGAGAAAAGAAGTTCAGGTTCCTGCACTGAGCGATGGAGTATAGATGTAAGTGTTGTTTGTGTCTTTGAAAATGAGACCAGTATAACACTGTCTTTCTTTCCATCAAAAGATGAAAGTTACAGCAATTTAAAATTTAAAAATACCAATTTTGTATTAAACTTGCATTCTGATGATAGAAAAATAATGTTTGGATTTAGATCTTGCTTTAGCTTGAAGTTTAACCACAATATATTTTATCAATTGGATATTATATTCTGTTCATAATGAAACATGTTTCTGTTGTCATGATTTTGCATTGGATAGATAAAATAAAATTACATTATGTGCTAAGGCCTGAAAATTGAATGATGTGTTTCCTAAGACGGTCCTGAAAGGAGGGGTTTTGCTGGGGTCGGTCAGGTAACCAGAAATACAGCAGTCTTTCCTTGGCCTATCTGGTCATACCTAATGCTGGTATTTTCATCGTCAGGGCTACTCTACTGCGTACATACATAAATGTAGCTGACTCTTCATATCTAATGATTGACTGTATTGTACTTGTCAGGGCTACTCCACTGCGTATGTAGCTGACTCTTCATACATGTATCTAATGATTGACTGTATTGTACTTGTCAGGGCTACTCCACTGCGTACGTTGCTGACTCATCAGATGACCTGTGGTTCCTGGAGGAAGACTCAGACAGGGAGGAGGTGATAGACTGGGAGTTTGAGCTGGACTCCGACTCCAGCGAACCTTACAACGATGATGATGATGAGGAGGACTCCATTGACGGAGAGGAAGAGGTTGGTTATGGAAGTATTGTTTTGGGTGGCTGAGCACATAGATTTGTGTGTCCATTTGTCCGGACAGAGTATAAGTCATGGGTGGGGATACAAGTAGGTCACTTACTGGCGGAATGACTGGTGAAAAGTTAGACACAGGAAATGGGGTTAGAGGTTTTTGGAAGAATTGTTTTATTTTGGGTGGCTTGGCTTGTAATCTGTTTGTCTGAATGGAGTAGGTTGACAGCACATGGGTGGGAGAAAATTGAAAGCTGAGGTTGAAAAGAAATGGGTGAACTTCAAGGTCTTAGAATCGTGCTAAGAGCCAGCAGGAATTAGGGGCCAACATGGAGGGAATTCAGGAAGCCGAGAATTGCATAAATGACCCTGTACAGTTTCTGTACTAGTCCCAAAAGTACATGTAGTCGTACACTGACACCTTGGTTATTTCTACAATGTATAAATTCATCAAAACCCGGAATACTTCCTGAAAGACTGAAATTTTTTGTTATTTACATGCAAAAATAGTTTTTTCTTTTCTTTTCAAAACAGAAACTGAACCTATGCATTCAAGTTCAGTTGTTCTTTCCTGATGTGTATAATGGTAATTTGTTTGTTCCACAGGAGTACTATGTAGAGATGATCCAGTGTTCAGACAATGACTCCTGTATGGCTGATGAGTCAGAGGAGAGCACAGATGAAGAGATCACAGATAAGGTGAGAAACACAAGCAAACACACAAACAGACACACTGAAAACAAAACCTCCATGCACGGAGGTAAACAAGTAGTAGTATGCCCTGGCTTGTAACTGCTGCTGCTAATAGATAAGTTCTGTATTAAACTTTTATCTACAACTGATTTGCAAAGGCTGTAATTCGTAATTTTTTCACGGTACTTTAAATTTATGTTCAGAGTTTTCACAGTCACTTCTGTACCATGAACTTATTTATGATCATTACCATCAACAAATTATTTGTCTTTCTCCCCTCCCCTTATCCAGCCAGTGTTAAGATTAAGTTCCATTAAAACATCCATTTTCCTCTAATACAGTGAAATTTTGCTACCTTGAAGACAAAGTGATTGAATGACATTATTAGCTGTATAACACAGATACTGTACAAATATTTGAGTTGCACCATGAACTAATATACAAGTTACCTCTTGCAAACATTACATGTACATGTTGTCCAACGTGGGACAATTTTATTTCCAGGACAAGTGGAAGTGTGACGTGTGTCCGATGCGGAACCATCCGTGCCAGCGGTTCTGTTCTCACTGCTGGGCCCTGAGGAAGGACTGGTTCCCTGAAGTTCACAACTCCAGCCAGAAAAGGTTCACTCAATTCTTTAATGATGTATCATACAATGTTAAGTAACGAGTATAGAAAAGAGAAAAACAAGAAGGTACAAATGTATATATCATCCAATTTAATTAACCAATTTAATAGCACTACAAGTTTAAATGCTCAAAACATCAGACACAAGAAATGGGGTGAACTTGAGAGTAGGTTGATAACACAATGTTTCAGCATGATAGCAATGTTACATGTAATACCATCATGATGTTACCATCTTGTTCTGAAGAACGTATCTCTATATCCACAGCACACTACAGCGCTCAAACTCCTGTCCCGAAGCCCAGTCCATGGAAAACGCTGACACATCAGGAGCCATGGACCCCTCACCAAGTGTCGTGTCCCCGCCGGAACGTACCATCAGTACCGACAGTGCCTTCTCGTCCCTCGGCAGCAGTTCCCAAGAGGTCAACAGCAGCGCGCCGGGCGCTGCGGGCGTGAGTCAGGACCACGTGGGCGCTGTGGTGATGGAACCCTGTATGATCTGTCTCAGTAGACCCAAAGTGGCCAGCATGGTCCACGGGAGGACAGCACACTTAGTCTGCTGTTACACGTGCGCCAAGAAGCTGTACAAGCGCGGGAAACCTTGTCCCGTCTGCCGGAGACCCATACAGATGGTGGTCAAGACGTTCTTCGCCTAGCGTTTGGGAACGGGTCAAAATGAACTGTTCGGTTGTAATATGCACAAATGTGAAGTATGGTGTATATTTTGAAAGCTTGCCTGGGTGCTTTAAAAGGAGGAGCTTAAAGTGCCTATCACACTAGAATACAAGATTTTCTTATTATTTGCAACAAAAATATTGCACCTCAATGAAGGTTAGGTAAAGAATTATTCATACTATTTAATGGTATTGAACATCGAACCATAAAAACTCATACTTCCAAGTTCCATAAGCTGGAAGAATCCTTGATGGTTTTAAGTTGAACTTCTACACTATCAGAAGGGTGTATGTGTGGTATCTTTATATGTTCATTAAGTTACACTATTTTTGTTGCAAATGATAAGAAAATGTTGTATTTTGGTGTCACAGGCACCTTAAAACGCATCTTTAATGACATATCATGAAGAACATATGTTCGGGAATATGTGTGTCACAAAATAGAACAGCCAAAGGCTTGTCCACGACGACATACTGTAAATTCCTAAAAATTGTTTTAAGTTACTGGTATAGCAGGACAGCAATACCAGTATTCACAAAGCTGAACATAATTTTAAATAATGTAAAATCATTTCATGACAAATATTTGACAATTTACGCTATGTCAAAGTACTGTTTCGTTATGCATTCTAGGATGTCTCTGAAAGCTGCTAGACTAGTCCAAAATAAGATTACTGGATCATACACAATGAAAATTCCTTGTTTTAGCCTGGGTGCCAGCCTTGTTAGGGGTATGCTGTGACTAATAGAATTAACTTGAGCCTAAACAGGTTGGCACCCAGGCTACACCTACTAAAAGTACAAACCCAACTACGTTTGGACATGGACATGGACATTGAAATCAATTTTGCTATGACACCATCTCCCCATATGTTCTTCCTTTAAATGGCAGCTATGCGGAGTTGTGTAAGAAAAATATGAAACACGAAAGAATACACATCTATGTTAGCGTCATATTGATGCCTAAAACTATGAATTGAATAAGTTACTGTCTTAGATGTTATTGTCTGCATATAGAAAGGCACATGAAAGATGATGTTGTATTATGATAATGTCATTGTAACTTGTTGCATATTAATGTAAATAGCATATTTTCCTGATGGTGTATTTTGGGTTGAATTTCAATCTTGTGGTGCCTAACAGGTAGGTACATGTATTTACTATCATTATGAATCAAATTATATTAGAAAGAGGTCGCTATTATGTAAGGTTATGATATTTTACATTCAGTTCATAGTTTAGACTTAAGTCGAGTCAAGTCATAGTTTAGAAGCTCTTAGAAGCTCTGAAAACTGCAATAAGTTTGAAAAGTTGCATTCATGTAATGATGCAACATTTCATGTGTGCTGAGTCTAATATTCTCATATCAGTGAAACAACTTGTTTTGTTGGATCAAACTTTATAACAGTTGTAAGTTGAAGGGACCTCTTTGTTGCAGTTATTTGTATTTAGCTGAATGGATAGTACATGTACTTGTGAGTTGCTCCATTGTAGCTTGAAATTACCAGTACTGCATATTACCCTATGCGTTGTGAGGACAATATGATATTAAAGCTAGTTACAGTTTTAACTGTGCATGCACTGTGTGATAAAAAATGGGTGATAAACCAAATTTGAAGGTCCTTGAGACATAACACATCTAAGTCTTGTATCAAGCATGATATAAACCAGAACTGCTTACAAGTTAGGGCCTGAAACCTTTGACCTTTTGCATTCACAGTTTAAACTATGAACTAGCTTATTAAGTCCTACATTTACGTTTGCTTTCTTCAAGTTTTGTTCACATTCTGTGCTATTTGTGAGGTTTTGTGTTGTTATGGTTTGGTTTGAGTTATCACATATGACCTGCACATATTGAAGTTTTGTGACTTTTCAGTGGAGCATTATACTGATACTATTCATCTTTTGGAATAAGAATTTCAGACTCAAGTCGAAGAAATCTGAGTAGGGTTTCAAAGAACACAACATATTCTTAGAATATGTGGCTCAAGTGCTATAGTCTATTTGTTATCCATACGAAAGCATTGTAAATACTTAAATTTGGTTAAATATGTTTCGCATTACCACTCCAATAATCTAAGACATTGGACAAATTGAATGCTATCTTACAGATGCATTTGTCTAAAAGATGCATTGTACTTCACAGGGTTTGGGGTTGAAAGTTACAACCATTTTGCACGATGTATTCTGTAGATTTTATTTTCCACAGAGCACGCCTGGATGTATCTTGCAACTCAGGTAAGTTAAAAACTTCTTATACACAGAACATGTGACAAAGTCATATTTTTCTGGTTGAGTATTTGGAGCTTTTTGAAAGTTTGGCTAGAGTTTTGGCCCATATTTTCAGTTTGGACATGTTAATACATATACATTTGTATGAGTCTTGTCTGACAGTATATAACAGACATTGGAAAAGACTTCTGTTTCAGAACTGTATTAGTGAAGTCCAAAGAATTGTTGGATGATGACGTTTTGTTACACTGGAATTTGATTTGAATATTTGAAATAAACATATATATTTAACAATTAAACACTGCTTCCTATGGAAGTTGCAACAATATTATGTTTATATTGATTTAATGCAACAAATAATAAATCTTACTGAAACAATATTGTGTTGTGAAGAATCTTTTTAGCCAAGTATTTAGTTATTTCCATCTACAGCACTGAGTGTATCTTTTATTTTTACAACTAAAGCAGAGACATTTCATTCTGAAACAATTTACACACACAAACCACTTAGTCTTGTTCTCTATAGTTTGATTAGACAATACCAGCTGTCAAGGGGGCATGTAACTGCCATGCTGCATGCAGAAACACAGACACACACACGGGCACACAGACACACCAAAAACAATACCTCCATTTTTCATGGGGGTAAAAATGACAGACCAGAACATGAATTTCATCATCACAGTTATGTAGATACTGTAACAATAGGCATCATCCACTGTGGTGTACATGTACATGTATAATTACTACATAATGCCATTTGTACATATAAACAACAATCTATACTAACTTGAGATCTTCATAATACCATTTGGCATTTCCATACAAGTATTACTAAGTTCTGTGCATGGTGAACAGAAAAAGCAAAAAATCAGGCTCATTCTACTTTTCTTGAACACAGCACCTATAGTAATCAATAGATACCCTCAAAAACTGACAGCACATTTTTATGCAGTGCTATACAATACATATTTTAGCTGACAAATGTATATATGTATATACCAGTGCAAAAATCTTGATGGAACTAAATACATACTGCCACATCTTGGTAATACTACGACTGACTTGTTTGGAATGGCCACTAGTGGAATTCTACGATGTCATACTATTACTACTAGCTATACATAGTAGATACAGTCCATACCAGCACACATTATCATGGCCAGCGAGTGGTAGGCAAAAAGTGGGTTACACAATGTGTAGTTGGGTGATTTGCCTACAAGTAATTTGCATGTGCCAAACATTAATTTGAATATACAGGGCTCATAATACTTTTTTCTGCATAATGCACTGGTACATGTAACAAAAATTACCTGCACAAGACAAATTTTACTTCCACCACTCATGCATTTCATACTTAGAGCATTTAAACTGCAGAAACAAGCCCCAAGATGAGTCCTTTATTTTCTGGGTGGTACCCTAAAAATCAGGCCATGGCCCTTCCACTAACCATGTTCTGTCAGAATTTTGGAAATTTTTGCTCTATGAGAATAGTGTAGTTTCAACTCAGTCAGTATGTAGGTAAATGACCAGAATATTTGAAAAATCGGGTTCTATAAGGAAGAACAGATGTCTGAAAGACATCCTAGCTTAACCCTTGTCCTGCTGGCATTCCTGGCACAATATTTTCCAATAATTTCATGTCTTAATTACATCATAGACCCCCAAATTTTGTTGCCCTGCAGTGGCATAGTTACTTCCGCATTCGTTGCGTTTCGCTGCAGTGTGATGCATTGCACGAGAAATACCCCCAAATCGTACCTATACAGGGTGCTACATGTATATAGATGGTACTGTATGTGCAGAACAACAATTGTTGTGCTCCGCAGGACAAGGGTTAAAAGCAGGTGAGAGACTATACTGGTTGTGCAAAAGAAAGATCCAATATTCAGTATCTCATTCACATGTGAAATTTGTCACTAGTGTGGTTCCTCTTGTGCCTTATGAGACTGGTCTTGTCTGTAGTCATGTGCCCGCACTCTTCACACATGAAGGGTTTCTCCCCGGTGTGCGTTCGCATGTGATTGGTCAGGTGCGTCCGGCGGATGGCCCGGTAGCTGCACAGCTCGCACTTGTAGGGTTTCTCGCCCGTGTGGGTCCGCAGGTGCCTGACCAGGTTGCACCTGAAGGCCGTCCTGTGCCCACACTCCTCGCACATGTACGAGCGCTCGCCCGTGTGGCGGGTCATGTGCGTGTCCAGGTGGACTTTCTGGGAGGCCGAGTAGTCGCACTCGGAGCATTTGAAGGGTTTCTCGCCGGTGTGGGTCCGGATGTGGTGCTGCATGTTGACCTTGACCTTAGAGGTGTATTCACACTGTGGACAGTGGTAGACATCTTCCTCACCACCCTACAGACAATACAGGAGTTCATGTAAGTAAGCTTACATAATGGAAAAGGCATCCAATGCAATTTCAGGGTGGCAAAACAAAAAAAATTTTCAGGATGAGGAAATCTGTCTGATATTGACATTTACCACCATTTCTTAACACAATCATTTCATACTTGAAGCGTTTGAAACAAAAGCCCCAAAACAAGCTACCTGATGAGTCCCTTTATTTTTGGGTACCACCCATAAATAGCTAGAACCAGCTTACGATACAAAATAACCGTTTTCCGTAGATGGAAATCGCATTTTTGCCCCACAGTTATCAGTCTGCTATATGTAATTGGGATTGATGACACATCAAGATCTGCATGATGACTATCATCATTCTGTTCAATACATTCAGAATAAAAAGAATTACATTTATCATTTGTTTATATATAGAAAGTGATACCAGAGTAATAAGGTACAATCCTATAGCTGTGATCACAAAGATAAAATTGAGTTAAAAGGAAATGATAATTACCTCACAACCGTCCTGGCCACCTTTACGAACTGCCTTGGGTACCGCTGTGAGGTCAGAATCTCCCTCAGAGTCAGAACCCGACCAAACTTCGTCGATTTTCAACTTTTTCTTCTTCGCTTTCGTCCCCCTCTTGGTTGGCGTCGCCTTCCTCGGCCTTCGCCGTTTTCCGCTCGCCGAAGACGACTCTTTGGGCTTTTTCTTCGAAACCGTCGCATCCTCGGATTTGGTTTCTTTAGTCTCCTCTTGTTGCGTGGAGGGTTCTGTATTACTGTGGGATGGTTTGGCATCACCAGCGACCGCTGTATCGCTCTTGGTCGGAACCAGTCGCTCCAAGACATCCGATTCGTTGGTATCCCATGATGCATCTTCAACGTTTGACGGCGGTCCTCGTACCATGACTATCTCTGTTTGACTTTGAGAAGTGTCCTTGGTTTTGGCGCTGAAGTTAGCCTCCGGATTACTAGTATCTTGTCTAGGGGGAGTCTTCCCAAATGATGCCGGTTTGTGCATCGCAGTGAATGTCGGGAATATGCTAAAGTTCGTGTAGTCTTCTCGCGTCGTCTTGTTGGCGGAATTCTCGACCGAAGTCGAGCTGTACTGGGTTACCGGAATAGGAGGGGACCAGATACTCGACATCGTCTGTGCGTACGCGCTGGGAAAATTCGCTTCGCTTGTGAACTGTTGCATATCTGTACGCGGATTGGCTGGAAACGGCGCACGTTTGCGTTGATCGCTCCATGCCACACCGTACTCTACACCCTTTTGTACAGCTTCTGGATTTGCTGTACGATATTCGTATTCGATCACATCGCGAAGTACCGTCACCAGATGTTCCCTACTACTGTACTCAGTGCTGATGTTCCTACGTGTGAGTTCTATGAGTATTTCCTCCAAATACAGTCTTGGCAGGACTGCTAGTGTCACATCCTTTGACAGACCGCAAGCTCGGATTTCTGGAGTTGACATTTTTCTCTAAAAAGTAAGAAAGAACTTGGTGAAACTCAGTGGATAACACATTTGCCAGCAAATGCTATTAGGCCCCACCCCTTTCAACCGACCTACTACTACTGTAACAGTACTCCTACATCATGTACAACAGAGAGAAATTCTCAAAACAACAAAGTCTAGCGACATATAGCAAAAATAAACAAAGAAAACGGACCTAAACGCTACGTCTAAATCCCTACATCTGTTCATAACTGTCTTATGTCCTTACCTTTTCGCTCTAAATCGATGTATTATGGCAAGGAAGGCAAAATATCTTGAGTATATTGTCAGAAAACAGATTCGCGGACAAAAATGGTGGGGTGCGAGCGACAGACTGCGTTAGGTTCAAAGGTCGTAAGGGTCACGAAGGTTGACTTACCTGAACTTCGCATCTTGTCGACGTATGTCAGCTTATCATTCACAGCAAGATCGTGGCGTTACTTGGTACATTGTCTTACGATTTACAGTAAGGAACTCATTTATATATATAAAAATAAAAGATAACACAACACCTGATCAAAACACACAGAAAAATGAGCTGTAACGTCAACAGGATACCTTCCGGAGCTATGCAACAATTACTGTAGTAGTCAGACCACAAGGGAGGCGCGGCTTACATAAATTAGTTTCATAGGTAATCCTTGGTTGGCTAGTTAGAGTACCCAACCAGAGAGCAGCTATTGTTATCAGAGCTGAGGTTGGAAGATACGATTGTCCGAGGTTTTAGTCGCGAGACCTCGGATTTCAGGTATGCCTCACTTGTAGTTAGTTCTTTTTAGATTGTAGGCTGTAGTTTTGACAATAACTCCCTCTTAGTATCGTTAGTGTAGTTAGTACTTGGTGTAGTTTGTGCTCTTTAGATTGTAGGGTGTAGTTTTAACAATAATTCCCACATAGTATCGTAAAGTAAACCCTGCTGTATCCGCGCTGTACTGCTAATGCAGACCTAAGTAGCAGCATCTGTTCTTATATACGCACATAATGCTGTGGTCACATTTCCAAACCGGGGCCGATTAACGAAAAATCAACAATTTATATCATAAATAGTTCCCATTAGTACTTTTTTCAACTTTTGTTTGCTTTGTTGTCTTTTCTATCATACTTTTCGTTCCTTAAGACTGGGGCCCGCCAGTTCCTTAAGACTGCCCGGGTGGGCCCCGATTTGGAAATGTGACCTCAGCATTAGGTATGTAGATCAATAGTCCCAAGGAATGCTTGATGTCGAAGAGAAGAGTTGTTCGTTCCAGTATCTTTGTGCTTCTTGTCGTCCTATCGTGTGGTTCTAGTCTTATTTATCTTGAATGTTGGTGAGGGCTTGAAGCAGGTTGAAATAATGAACTACTGTGAAACTGCTCGCATTGCCTGGCAGTTTAGCGGTTTCACCATTACCTTTAATAGAGAATGAGGTATTTCATCCAGAGGCATGTGTTTGTTGTTTCTGTTTTGCTGGCTACACCATCGAGTGGTTTTACCGGTTTAAACTGCAGATGTGAGTAGGATTAGGTTACAGAAACAGACTTTTAAGACTAGAATGAAAATTACTTCTCCGTTTGGTTCTGCTGTAGTAGATTGTCTGGCATTCAGTTTTCAAAATTTGTTCCTCGATTTGTAGCGCTTTTGTTGACGAAGAAGTTGTATTTTGGATACCACGTTTTGTCACCAAAAGCTCATTTTCACTAACAATCAATTCATCACAACAGACTAAAAGAGGTAAGTACTGATTCAGTAAGAAAATACTACTCTACCAGTCGTTGACCAGTTTTAAGTGTAGTGGTGTCAACCACTACAGTTGTGAAGTCGCGATATGTTATGTTTCTGGTCATGGAGATCACCTAAAGGTCTTATACATTTGTACATTTATCTTTCCCCTGAGGTAGTCGTGAAAGATTGCAGCAGAGCTACTTGTAAGGGAGGGGCGTAATTACTTGCAATTATGTAGCTATATATAGAGATAATTAAACTAATTACCGAATGAAAGGCTAGGTGCTAAAAGCTCATTTTTTAATAACAACCAATCCATCACAACAGTTTCTAAAACAGGTAATTCAGTTAGTAAAAACTATTCTACCAGTCGTTGAGCTTCCAAGACCAGTTCTAAGTTTAAAACACAGGTTGTAGAGTCGCAATCTACCGTGTTTCCTCCCCATGTGGTAGTCATGAAAGATTGCAGAACTACTCCGTGTGTAAGGGGAGGGGTGGGGCATAATTGCTTGTGATTATCACGTAGATAGGTGGAAAAATTAGTTCCAAAATAATAGTAGTTGTCGACTCCTCATTAGCGAAAAGATATGTGGTACTAGCCTCTACCAGGCTTCAGAAGTGACTGGAAAGCGTAGAAATTAGCAAAATGGATAGATAACATGCCAGGGCAGTTGGTCCGCCAAAGGAAGTACAGTTCAGAGCGCGCGACAAACTGTACTCCTTGAAGGTAGCAGAACACAGTTTTCGCCCTATGGGGATTTCTAGTTAAGGACCCCAAGATGACTCACTTCGACGCGGTAAAAATTATAGCAGGGTGCATTTCACAAATACGAAAATCGAATATGTTTCAGAAGAAGGTACAAACTACAAAATATCTAGAAACCAAAAAATCCTGTCGGCGTATCTGCTCGTAACGTACACTTTGAAATCGCCTCCTACGGACGTGACCTGAACTGCAGCCGACTCACCCGGAAAGCCAGTTGCGCAATACGGCGCATTTATACACGAACTGCAAAACCTTCACAATTCAAATCATACAGTCTCAAACTCGATACATTCCTACACCACACAGCACAATTTACATCTGGCTGACGCTCTTATCAGGCTTTCTACCCAGCCTTCAAGAATATTCGCTGCACTACTTTCTATACCCGCGTCATCGTCCCGGGGGTTGCCCATTAATACTGTGACCTGCTACCTTAAGCGGTATTACAGGTTTGCAGTATGCAAAACCTGTTCTATTTTAGGTGGATTTTATGGGCGCCGCCATTTTGTTTCCCGTCATGCAATGGGGCAGGTCAAAGTTGAGGGAGATGCATTGTGGGACCTGTCACCGGGTTACAGTGTAAGGACGGCACCTAGCGGTAGGTTTGGAAAGAGCGGTAACTCTAAGCCTACCTGGTTGTGTGTTCATTTTGGCAGGAGTGTATAGAGGCGATGGCTTTGACGTAATATAGGCGAGTCTGATTGTGTTTAGCACTTGACATAATTTTCTTAGCATGACGGGAAGGAAACTTGGCGGACCCAATGCGGCGGAACTTTAAAGTTTTTTTTTTTTTTTGATGATGAGATGGTGAGGCTTTGGTATTAGTAGGGTGGTCTTGTGGATCTTGTCGAGGCAGAGCCTAGGGACGACAGATTGTCCTCAAGTACAGGGTTAGTAAGTGGTAATGGCATGACGTTTTGGTATTAGTAGGGTGGTCTTGTGGATCTTGTCGAGGCCGAGCCTAGGGACGACAGATTGTCCTCAAGTACAGGGTTAGTAAGTGGTAATGGCATGACGTTTTGGTATTAGTAGGGTGGTCTTGTGGATCTTGTCGAGGCCGAGCCTAGGGACGACAGATTGTCCTCAAGTACAGGGTTAGTAGGTGAGATAAATGGAATGAAGTTTTGGTATTAGTAGGGTGGTCTTGTGGATCTTGTCGAGGCCGAGCCTAGGGACGACAGATTGTCCTCAAGTACAGGGTTAGTAAGTGGTAATGGCATGACGTTTTGGTATTAGTAGGGTGGTCTTGTGGATCTTGTCGAGGCGGAGCCTAGGGACGACAGATTGTCCTCAAGTACAGGGTTAGTAAGTGGTAATGGAATGAAGTTTTGGTATTAGTAGGGTGGTCTTGTGGATCTTGTCGAGGCCGAGCCTAGGGACGACAGATCCTCCAAGTACATGGGTTAGTCTGTTCAAAGGTGGGATGAAGTTGGGGGATGTGATTTTGTCCATCTGAATATTAAGCATCCTGAAACCTGTCCTGCCTATCATTCATAACAGAATAGTCATTTTTTGTCTGACCTAGGACCTAACTCTAGGAAGTGACAAACTGAGGAATGACACAGACACTTGCTTTGGTCAAGACTTTTAGACTTGACCTCTGACCTTGCAGTGGGAGACACCTGTACTAGGTCACCTATTACAGCTGTACAGCCAGGGAACTCCTGTTGCACATGATCATTGGATATTGTACAAAAACTATGCAGATGTCCTGCTATAAATACCATACATCCCTCCCTTGTATTATTGTATAGCAGTGAATCATTAGTTTGATGTACTCGTTAGTTTGATAACTGGATGTACCGAATAACAGCAATCAGTTTCGATTACAATATAGACTGTCTATCATCTTCCAGTCTCAAAGCCTGGCTACTGGAGAAGCCCAATGTAATAAAATAATTGACAATACAATTGAACTAGTTGTTGTTACAATGACTGTCGTTCTTTATGCTCAAATGTTTTGTCGTTACTGTCCTTGTAGTTCTACTAGGACATATGATGGATCCAGACAATCAAACAATTTGGTCAAGGGGTGGTCCTCTGGCTAATTTCTTCAGACATTATGACATTTGGTATCGATCATGCAGACTCTATTGTCTTTTGCGCCCTTATACTGGACATCGAAGAGCACGTGCACGTTCAGATCGGCCTCGTCGCATCGGCTGTGCCAGGAACTGCCGTCACGTCGGTCTCAGGTGGTGTGATTGGCCTCACAGCTCTCCCAGGACCGGGAATGGATGTCTCAGGGCTGGGGATGCAGACGTTGGTTGTTTCGGGGGATGAGGGTGTGTCCGGCGGTGGCTTGACGTGGACGGTCTGCTCCCTAATGCAAGAGAAGAAGAGAAAGTGCCCGGGGAAGTACATCCCTGGCCAGATGGATGGGTGGCTGACATGTCAGGTCCATCAGTGGTCAGCTTCCCCGGATCAGGAACGGAAGAGACGGTGCCCGTTGGCTGTCGTGTGCCCCGTTATGACCATTCTTGGCCGAGGGTCGCTGCATGTACACTGAAAAAAAAGAAGACATGTGCCCCACAGTTTCAACCTGACAACCAATTGCAAACACTGGCGACGTCGACATTGACCCAGAACATAGGCTGGGTCAACCTATACATGTACAGTACAAACTCACGCCGGCCCATCCTGTCAAAACGGACAACTGTACTCACACGTAAACGCACTAGGATTGCCACTGAATAAAAACAAACAACAAAACTAGCAAAACCTACGCATACTAAATAGAATAATAGCTCCATCACATTAACTACCATTGTCACGACTTCAACGCGTCAACGCCGTCGAAAAAAAAACCAACAACTTTGGAACCTCTAGAGTATTAAAACAGCACCAAAATCCTTACTTGGCCATATGTCTCAGTTCAGTTCAGTTTTTATTCGCACTTTAAAAAAATGTAACAATAGAGTCCATTCCAAGTCACCGTGCGGGTTTTTTCATCATATTTCTAATATTTTCTAATTAGTTTCAAATAATTCGAAAATATTATAAATATTCTGAAATTATTATAAAAAATGTAAGCACCCGAGTAGCATGTTTTCGAAAATGTTGGAATAATTTGCAAAAATTTTGAAAGTGGCAATCAAATGGGATCTTAATTTCAAAATTTTTAGAAACACAATTTGAATTTCGAAATATTTCGAAAAGAAGATTGCCTGCTATCAATCAAGCGCTAATCCCGCTCCACAGGCGGTTTCTGTGTAGACCTCGCGCGGCGCGGCGGGACGTCCGCGGCCATCTGGACGTGGTACGGGCGGATCGCTTGGTTTCCCCAATTCTCCTTGGTTTTCCAACCCTGTCGGCGATTTGACACATTTTCTTCGGCGCGTGCTTCATATTTTCGTCGGTTTCAACAAGCTTCTGCTTACTTATCGGGCTTGATTTCCAGCGCTGTACTGTGTTTTATGCGTAAGGAAATGGCCCATGGAAATCCAGCGGTACACTGACTTCCGGGTACCGCGGGTTACCTTATCTTGCTCGAACAACAAAATTACACCACAAATCGGCGCATAGAAATTGTCCCGAAAATTCTTTTAGAGTCTAATCACCCATTTTTAATAGGATGTTGCTAAGAGGTCGTAGAAAAAACGTAGAAAGCAGCGAAAATGTGTCTCTCTTCGCTGAATCTGCCGCGGCTGCCGGTGATACCGCTTATCCAATCAGAACGCAGGTCATGTGAGGTGAACCAATCAGAGCGCGTAGATCGTGCGCTACTACTTATATATTAATGACAAGATGGCGCATTTTGTAGAGCGATGTGGCCGCGATTTTCTTAGTTTTGACTGATTTTTTGGCACGCCGTGATTACACTACAAATGACACACTAGTGGAGACAGCCGCGGAGGGAAGGGGAGCGGAGAGGAACTAGTTCACGAAGCGAGTTCCGCCATGTCCGCCGCGCACTGGATTTGGTTTCTCACGCGGGCCGCGGCCGTTGTTTGGTGGAGTGTTTGTTTACATTATCGCCGGGTGCTGAGGATCGGGCAGCCAGAATCTCCACGGGATGCCCCCCGTCCTTTCTATTTTCGGCCTGCAGTCGGCTAGGGGGGATTAGTGATTTCACAGATCATTTAGCCAATTACAAACTTTTCGAAAAAATGGTATTCCCGCGGAGTCTTTTATTACATCGTACATGGCTTTTAGAATGTTTCGAATGTTTTATGATTTGGGAAAACTGTTTACAAAGTTAAAACCAAGTTCGAAATGTTTAAAAACTATGGAATTCTTTTAGAAAAGGTTACAAACATTTCAAAAAAATTCGAAACAATGAGCGAAAACACCCGCACGGTGACGTGGAATGGACTCTACAGACACAAAAAAATATAAATGAAATATAACAGTGCAGGGAGGCCGGAAGCAAAAAATGCTTATGAAGAGGCCTCCCTTCATAACTTAATTAACAAGTCAAATAAATTTGATAAATAAGAAATAACTTACTAGGTAACGGGTAAATGAAACAAAACAATAAAATACAATACGATACAATACTATATACAATAATGAAAAGTAGTAATGAAAAGTAGTAAACAAGGAAAATTAAACAAAAATTAAGAATGTGTGGGGTTATTTATGAAGGTTGCTTTAGTATAATTTTTGAAAATGGTGACGGAGGGACTAATTTGTAAAGTTCTACTTAGGTTGTTCCAAATTGTTGGGCCTCTGTACGTGATTGTAAATTGACGAAGATTCGATTTCGCATTGGATGGTCTTAAATAATTGCATTGGCGTGTAAAGTGGTTGTGGATGTCTGAGTTTAATAAGAAGGTGTAGGTGTCGTGGAAGGTTTCAGGAAGGCAAGGACATTTATTCATTATCTTGTACATTAAAAGACTTGTTTGTAGTTTATTTATGTCATTTATGGACAGTATTTTGAGCTTTTTAAACAATGGTGCAGTAGGGAAAGTGAATGAAACTTTTGACGCTATCCTGCTGTATCGTTTCTGAAGCAAAAAGAGCGGTTTAAGTGATGTAGTGTACGT